ATGTTAAAAGGCTACTGAAATCAAAACACTGGAAAGGAAGGTAAAGAATATCCAGTCAAATTTATGAGGAAAGAGACAGGACAACCCTGCGTGCTTAGCTCTTGTGAGTTGATGGCCAGTTAATTCCTGGTGTAAATGCATTCACATGCGCTGGAGAGAGGCCTGGCTGTTCAAGGAAGCTGCATTCTGTGTGCTGCTGTTTTGTTATGATAGCTARAAAGAAATAACAGCTTGTTTTTCTCCAGGCAGAAGCCTACAAGTGGTTTCAGCTGGGTCTTGTTGGGTAACTTGGGTTCCCCCATCAGAAAGGTACAATTTAGAATTTAAATCAGATGTGCATGCAGAGAAGGAGACACAAAGATTTCTGCTTTTGGAGGTAGTTTGTATTTGCTGCCTGTTTATTGGTGTCATTTCCAGTTCATTAGTGGTATCTGTTAGTTTGCAGTGGTTTTATTACTATTTTAAGAATGGTTGTTCCAAGATATGAATTCTAGTGGAGAGAGAACAGCAACTCCTTCTTCTGTCCTGCTAGAAATGAGTCCCCAGAGCAGGATGCTCAGTGGACATGTGCACAGCGAGGCACAGTGTGGTGGCTGGAAATGCCACCTGCCAGGACTGCAAGAGGCAGCTTTTACTCTTGAGTATGTTTGGAGAGGATATTTGAACCCTACATGCTGGGTATGGATTAAACCATCCTGCTGGGAAGCAGCTTATCCTGCTGACCCTSAAGGGACCCCATCAGCTGTGACAGGCAGCGGGGTTACTGCTCTGTTTCAGGACATGGACTGTGGAATTCACTGGGACTGCCCAGCTACAGGTGGTTTCTGTAGAAGCCTGGCCCTTCAGAAGTTTCTTTTCCTACAGGAAGAGGTGGGTATCTCTCCCCATCCTCTTCTTAATCTTTCCTTTCTCTTTTATGGCATGAGCTCTGATAGCGAGCAAGAGGATAATAATTAATAGGCTGTGTGTGTTTTTCCAATAATCTCATTTTTAAATGAGTGATCAGAGGATAAACTATTTTTTCATGGTGCTGCGTCAGCAGTGATAGTTGTTTCTCCTCCTATGAAACCCTTGGTTTAACTACCCAAGGCCCCAGATATGCATATGAAATGATCCTAGCTCTGGTAAAGATTCTCTGCTGCCCCTGTGCACTGTGCTGGCATACAATGTGACTTCATGAAAGGAAATRAAATCTTGAAATCAGGGAATGAAGTGAACTGAACACACAGGAGAGGAATTATGATGAAATGAATCAYACTTGAAAAGAAGAAACAAAATTCTGAAATGAAAATATTAAAGGTGAATAGGATGAAGTGCAGTGAAATGGACTGAAATTTGCAGAAATTATAGAGAATTTGCAAGATTTCATTTCCTTTCAYGAAAGAAAAGATTTTCCTTTCATGAAGGGAAATAAAATCTGAACATCAGGGAATGAAGTGAGCTGAACATACAGGAGAGAAATYACAATGAAATGAAATATAATTGAATAAATACCAGAGAATTCTGAAATGAAGTGAAAATATTTAAATGGAATGAGGTGCGGTGAAMAGATGAGAAATCTGCTGAAATGRCACTCATTGTAATCTCAAAAWAAGAGAACAAAGTGGATCAAAAAGACAGAAAAAGAATTATGATGAAATTTGCTCAGGTGCTGAGCATGTGRGTTGTGCCAAGGAGAAAGATGTGGAGGGATCAATGGTTTTTGTTTGCAGTGATATGGACCAAAACTTGCCAAAATGGTACTCATTGAGATCTTGAGAACAGGGAAAGAATGGAAAGGAACAGACAGGAGAGGACATATAATGAAATGCAGTGGAAACAAGCTAAGAAAATCTGGCAATGAAGTTAAAAGAATGAAATGGATGATATGTGGTGCTGCTAAAAGGACTGCAACTTTCTGAAATGACAGTCACTGAAATCTCAGAATCAGGGAAAGAATGGAATTGAAGAGGTAGGAAAGAATATATGACGAAATTAAATTGTATTGGTAAAAAGAAGACAATTCTGAAATGAAGTGAAAAACAATGAAATGGAAAGGGATGATATAAAGTGCAGTGAAAATTTCAGAAAGCTGCCTGAATTGTACTTAATGAAACCTAGAACTCAGGGAATGAAGTCAATGGAACACACAGGATAGGAATTGTGACAAAATTAAATGCAATTTTAAGAAACCTGAAAATTCTGAAATGAAAACAATAAAAAGGTGTGGGATAACATGCAGTGCAGGGAAATGGACYGAACCTTGCCAAATTGATCCTCAAGATCAGAAGCCCAAGATCTAASTCTGGGGATTTTGTCACAGGATATATTTTCTAAATTTTCTCAAAATCTTCAAGGCCTCTCAGTTATTACCATGGTGCTCTTGCTCTAACTCAGCACTGAAATCTCCCAGAGCATTTTATAATCATATTTGTGAGGTATTAAATGTTTGCTCTACCTGAGTTTGCCTTCATACTGAACTTTCTGTATGGAAACCAGACAGGCAGTTTGGACTGGGGACATGAGTTGAAGTTCARATACCAAGTCAACCAAGCTTTTTTGGCAGAGCCTTGGATACTTTTGGGCTATAGCAGATTAAATTTACTTGCTTGAAATAAAGGTGCGATATTTTCCTGCTCTGCCAGAACAAGGCTCTTATGCCATCTTGTTTCTGCAGGAGAGACCAGCTCAGCCCTAGAAGTCCTCCAAGCTTGTCATCAGGCTTGTCTTCTTAGAGGTCTGTGCTGAGGAAACAGAGTTCAGCCTTTGCTGCGCTGCAGAACCGACTTGTCAGGAATTTAAGTGGTTGTAAATGGAGCTTTTGGAGAGAAAGTTGTTGTACTGCAGCAGGGATGTATGGGCTAAATTTAGCCACTAAAATCACAGTAAAAAACACAGCCTTCTGCAAGCTGGAATGATTCAATTTGACCAAACATAAAATCGTTCCCTTATTAAACTAATAGTAACTCGGAACAAGAAAGCTTCAAACTGATCCCAGCCCTAAAGCTGCCTTGGGGAGCCAAGAAGCCAAGAGATTGCAGCCAGGCATTTCAAAAAGCCAAGGCTCTTAATCTATCTTTTACACTGGCAAGGAGCAAAACAGGCAGCCTTCTGGGAACACCAGAGGCATAGCAAGTGCCTCTGGTCCCCTCTCTCCTAAAAGTGTGGTCTTGTTCCATTTGATCCCCTTTGGGACAAACCTTTAATTACAATGGTTTGTTTCCAGAGCAGATCCTGAAACATTGCCACTGTGAAGACAACTTGAAAGGAGGAGGGACCAGGCCCAAAACTCACCAAAAGACAAGGCTGAGACTTTCTGATGGTGAACTCATCAAAACAAGGCCATTTCTGTGTGCTGGACTATGGTTCAGGATGTGCACTGTGTAAGTAAGCTTCTGGGATATTTTTCAGAGCACTTGTGTCTTCCTCTGCACAAAGAACGTGTTTTATGGCAAAACACAATAAACTCGCACTTGCTGCAGGTGCCCCAGCTTGGGCACAGAGCCAGGGCTGCTGGGGTGAGTGAGGATCCCACTGTGGCTAATTGACAGTCTGTGCTGGCAATGCCCCGGGTGCCTCCACRCTGCGGAGCTGCTCTCTGTGTGCACACCGAGCACAGGGTACTGACGGACTGCTCGGCAAACCGGGGCCCTCAGTCCGTTGTCCTTGTCCCCTCAGCAGCACAGACCAGATTTCCTGATACCGTTGCTAAGCCTCCGCTTCCTTGCCGGTTCCTAGCCAAGCTTCAAAAATATCCTCGAGTGGGTGAAGCTGTAYTGGAGAGTGTCTTTATGGGGATCATCTAACATTAGCCCTGAAGAGGGGACAGACTAACCATTTCAGGCTCTTCCTCCCTCATGCTTTTCTACTCCTCTTCTCTCTAGCTCCTTTCCTATTCCTATCATATGTTTTTCTTACGCTGTTGGGTTTTTCCATCACTGAGAGTCCTTGGCACACACAGCTTTTAAAGTGTGGTTCCAGCCGTCACTAATTTGCACGCTTTTGTTTCAGCACAGTAATACTTGTATGCCATTTTCTGTCTGAGGATCTGATTCTGCATCGTATCAAAGATGCACCACAGTGCCCACGGGGGAATGGAAAATTTTAGGATCCCTTCTAAAAAGAAAAAAACGGAGTCGTACTAAAGAGTTTAAGCTTCTTTAGAAATGGCAGACTTGGGAACAACATCCCGGCGTCCTGCTTAACCCTCTGTTGCTGATGCTTCTTGCCTGGGTCCATTCCAAGTGATCTCTGCGGTTTAGATCTGGGTCACTGTAACATTAGGGTATTCAGATTTGGGCTTGCCTAGGAGCTTCCTTTAACCATGGGGTTATAACTCAGCGTAGCAACCAGCTTGAAAGCTGGTGTGACGGGTCTGTCGGTACTCTTTCGCATCCATAGAAATCGTGGTATCGATAAGAAAAGCTGCGCGGTGAGACGCAGARAGCTGGAGTACGGCTGTGGCAGTCCGGGACCTGCCTGAAGCTCCACTGGGTGCCGCGGGGCAGGAGAGGGATACCCTGCGGGTTAAGGGGAGAGGAGGCGGCAAGGGGCGACGGCATCGAGCGCGATGGCTCCCCCGCCCCGGGCTGTACCCGACCCCCCCAGTTGGAGGGGACGCGGCGGCGGGGGCGGCGGTGAGGGGACACGTCATGCGGGAAGGAGCGCCCGGCCGGCCGCGAGTGGGCTCCGCTGCGGCCCGAGCGCTGCCGTCTGAGCATGCTCCCGCGGGGCTCCGCCGGCCTATATAACGGGAACGGGGGCCGGCGGCAGAGGCAGCAGCTCCGCTCGGGCAGCAGGGGAGCACCGCACCGCGCTCCGGTCCGCATCGTACTGCGCCTCTCTGCACCGCCCGCTGTACACGGTACCGCAGCGCGCCGCTCGGTACCGCGCTCCGCACTGCGTTTGGCTCCGTACGGCACTCAGCTCCGCACCGTGCTCCGCTCCGGACAGCAGCGCTCCCACCGCGCTCCGCTCCCCACCGCACTCAGCTCCGCTCCGGACAGCAGCGCTCTGCTCCGGACAGCAGCGCTCCCACCGCACTCAGCTCCGCACCGCGCTCCGCTCCGGACAGCAGCGCTCCGCTCCGCACTGTTCCCCGCGGTACCGCACAGCCCCGCGGGGCCCGCTCCTGCCCGGCCGCCGCTGCCCGCCGGAGCCTCGGCGCCCGGCACGGCCGAGGCAGCGAGCCCCGCTCCGCCGGCCCCGGCCCCCGCGGCGGGCKCTCCCGCGGGCGGCAGGATGGCCGCGAAGCCGGCCGAGCTGATGGGCATCTGCTCCAGCTACCAGGCGGTGATGCCGCACTTCGTCTGCGTGGCCGAGGAGTTCCCGCCGCCCGCCCGCCCCGCCAAGACCCCCAAGGGCAAGCTGCGGCGGCCGCGGCAATCGCGCTTCAAGACGCAGCCGGTGACTTTCGACGAGATCCAGGAGGTGGAGGAGGAGGGGGTGTCCCCCATGGAGGAGGAGAAGGCCAAGAAGTCTTTCCTGCAGTCGCTGGAGTGTCTGCGGCGGAGCACCCAAAACCTCTGCCTCCAGCGGGACCGGCTGGGCAGCTGCCGCCTCCGCAACAGCCTCGACTCCAGCGACTCGGACTCGGCTCTCTGAGGGCGGTGGGGCTCGGCGGGACTCTGCCCGGCTCGGCGGGACCCTGCCCGGCGCGGCGGGACTCTGCCCGGCTCGGTGGGACCCCACCCGGCTCGGTGGGACCCTGCTCGGCGAGACCCGGCTCGGCGGCACGGACTGGGCTGAGGGAGCCGCGCCACGGCCGGCACAGGAGCGCTCGGACGGGCAGCCGGGTCGGGATGTTTTCTAAGAAAGCGCTTGTACCTTCGTTTCTATTTGATTGTATGAAACTCACCGTCTAAAAGACAAAAAAAAAAAAAAAAATCTTTTCTATTCGTTAGAAGAAATGACCTGTTTTAGATGCATTGAGCTGCTGGACTTTATATTTATTTTTGCATTTAAACTGTTGACTGCATTAATTTAATATGTTTCTACCTGAATGTCTGTTATTATTTCCATAAAAGAGTAATAAATCTGATATATTTGCACAGTACTTACCAGGCTGTTCTTATTTCAGGGATCCAGCTGTCCTTGTTCAGCTTTGAGGGGTAAAGGGATTTAAAAGCTGTCARTAGCTAGTGCAGAGACAGCAGTGCTTTCCTTGGGGATGCTGCTCAGAGAGGTTTTGCAGGCTGTACTGTCAGGTATAAACTAATGATGAGGCAAAAGTCAAGTTAGACTGATTTTAAAATACTTTATTCACTTCTTCGAGATCTTTGTGTTAACCTGAATTGAGGTTTAAAGAGTGTTTGTAACTGTGCCCAAGAGCCTTAATGCAACTGGGCAAGCCTCCTGCATTCTCAAAAATGCATAYATAGTTTCTGTTTTCATCCAAGTTGGTTTTGTCTCTTTTCCCCTTTCCCTTCTGACCCATTRATTATTTAGTGTTGCAAGCAGATTTGGTAATTGGTTAGAATGCAGTTTTATTTGCTGGAGTGAGTAACTGATACATTGTGGGCATGCCTTTCTTGGASTTTAAAAGCAAGGGGATTTTGATGYGGTGAATTTTTAGGAGTAAGGCTTTTGTTGGGCTTCTGATATGTGTGTGTGCAGGTGCATGTAAAATTTTCTCTGTCTGTGGGGTATGTGCTGRAAAGCATCTGCAGCTCACTGCAGAATGGAAAGCAAATTCCTGGCTGGGAATATTCTCCCTGTATTTTCTCCATTCTTTTGAAATGTTCCTGTGCTAATAGTGTAATCYCATGGTAGCACTTTCCTTCAAGACAAGCCTCTAGCAATTGAAACTTCCCAATCAATAGGTATTAGCTGATACTGAGCTGTAGYTAATATCTGTCTGGTATTATTTTTGGGGGACTTGTGGTGTTTCTTATGTCCTGATTTGAGGTGCAATCATACTGATCAATATGGAGAAGTGAAGGCTGGGGCAGAGGAAAAAGATGGGCATGGTGCTAGTGAACAGGGTGTCTTGACAGGACTGACAACCATGGAGTGGTACCCTCTGGGCACTGAAGTACAGCAGATGACCCATACAACTGACTCCCAGCTCCAGCAGAACTGAAGYTTGTCTCTTTCTAGCTTAAAGCAGAGGAAAATCCCGGGGGGACAGGGTGCAGCTTGTTTTTGGACAGACCCTTCACAACTCCCTTGCAGTACCAGCATCTCCAGCTGACCTCCAGGGAAGGGCTGGGCATGCAATTCAGCAGGTAAGGAAACAGGTCTGGACTCTGGCTCAACCTCCTCACGAAAAAGCATTGAAATGGCCCCGTGTGTCTCCCTGCATGCAGTCAGTGAAACAGCTTCTCTCCCTTTGCAGCTAGCCCCTCACTGCTGCTTTCTCTGCATGGTAGGCTCATAAGTGACATCTACACACAGAGCAAAGCAACTTGACCTCCAGAGCAGCTTTCAGTCAGGCAGGCAAACCGGAATCAGTAAGACATAATCAGTTGCCAGCAGATGGGCTGATTTCTGTCAAAAAATTCCTAACACTGCYTCAGTTCTGGGAGTTCTGGGTTTGGGAAAGCGTTTGCAACATTTATGGGAACTATGTAGCCACATGCCTATATTTTGCATAATGGACACAACTAATAAGCTCCATAAGATTTTCAGAGATTGTATAGGGTCCTTCCCACACTGCCGGTTTTAGGCTGCTTTTCAGTTTCCGTTTGCTTTCAGCTCTGGTACAAATCCMCMTGACACACAAAGTGTGGGGTAGATTCAAGAGGTTGTGARCACATGATCCTTGTCACCATTCCTAATTTTTGTTTAGCAGCTGGGATTGCTAGCAGGCCCTTTCCCATCCCTCCTTCAGCGTGCAGCAGGCAGGAGGCACAGGAGGCTGTGCTGCAGCAGCCGAGCATCGGATACTTCCTGGAAGGGCGAGAATAGCTGTGTTCCCTCTTGTGTTTCAAGAGACAAATGTAGCTGTTAACACATCCACAAAGAGTATTTGAAAATCTGCTGTAGCGTGTTTGAGGAAAATGTCATATTCCAGTGGTTAGGCTGAATAAATGAGTTTCTCTTCAGTTGTTCTTTGTTAACATTTTTCTGTTTCATCTCAGAGTGAATAACATGGGAGATGCCAGTGCTAAAGATAGGCTAGTGTTTATCTTCCAAACAGTTGCAATCAAGGCGAAAGGGTGAAAAGCCAGGGTGATTTAGTTATATCCTGGAGAGGCCTTCCTGAATGCAGCTGGGAAAATAAACCTCCCTCCCAGYCTTCCTGTGCTGCTAATTTTGAAGGTTTCTCTTGCAGTGTGTTTTAGTGTCATGACTATCATGTCTATCTGTTCTGTAAGGATTGCAGGAAGACCTATTAAATTTGCTTTAGTGAGGGTAATGACTGTATCAAAGGGGTTTGAGTCTGTCATCCACTCCCTAGGCTTAAGGTGTGGGTTGTACATTTCCCCTCAGCAATTCACAGCTTAAAAGCATCCAAGAGAAGGCACTCACGGTGATGCTCAGCATGGCAGTGAGTAGGCACGAGCATTCCATGTCTGCACAGGAAGGAGCTGGGAGTCAAATGCTCATGGTGCAGCAGGATGTGCAGAGGGCAGAGGCGAGACTGAGCAGCCCAGGGTTGTCTTCAATACTGTTTTTCCAAATTACAGGAAATTGCATGGGAGGATTTGTCTTCAATGGAACTGCCTTTTATCCTCATATCACTTTATGTGTAAATCATTCTGGTCTCTGTGGCAAGAGGTTCATCTGGTCAGTAAAAACTTGAAAGCAGTTTTTTTTTTTTTTATTCTGCTCTGTTTTGTGTCCAGTCCCCTCCACGCCTGTCAGCATTTCTGACTTTCTGTGCTTGTTTTTAAATGCTGTGTTATTGTAGCTCATCATGCTGGTGTGGTGGATCTGTACCTCCATCCCTTATTTTGGCCTGACAGGTGTACAGGGRATATGAACAGTGCAGTGTCATTGATCTACCAGAATCAGGAAGAGAAAAATCTTCTCTGAGAGAGCTTTTTCTCTTCTTTTTGTGAGCATTTTGGCTGCTTGCTCAGTAGTTAATAGAGGGTTTCTGGGTGCAGTTTAGTGTCCACCTCAAGAGGCTGAGGACAATCTCCTCTCCTATCTGTGCATGTACCAGCTCTTGAATAACTTCTCTYACCCTATTATTATTATTTCTAATAAATCACTGGAAACACTTCAGAGTGGAGCTGCTATCAGGAGCAAATATGAGAAGGTGCTTGCAATTCCTGCAGGTTTTTGTGCTGGGATCCTGAAAATGCATTTGTCTGGGAATTGGTTAATGATGACATCTCCTGACCCTTAYCAGTGCTGGGGATCTGGCCCTGCAGAGCACAGCGGACAGACTGTGGGACACTGCTCTTGGTAAGAAGCACCACGCTGTTGTTATCTAACCTCCAAAGTGACAGCAGAGCCATGGGACAAAACACAAACTGAAGCATTTATTTAATTGTCGGGCTGACAGCGAACAAATTGCAGTGTAAGAGAGGCCGACGGGTGAGCTCTAGCAAATCTGGTTGCCGTGGTTTCTCACATGGCAGCAGTGCCAGCAGTTTGCTGGCTGCCCTCCATGAGGTTTGGCTCCCTGGCAGCTTTCATGGCTCCTGGTCTCAGGCTTTTGAGCTACCACCAGAGAGATCAGTGTGGTTCTCCAGGTTGCATCTATCCCTGTTTGAATCTCAGATCCCATGGCATGGCTGGGAGCCTGGGTTGTCTTTTGTACTTGGGGCTTTTATTTCTGAGGGGAAAAATCCTTGGGCAGGTACAGATAGCCCGAARTCCCTGAGCAGAGCTCAGACTGCCTGTGCAGTGATGGTGCCCTGGATTTGCAGTTTGACATTTYGGAGCGATCTTACATGGAGTGTGCAAGCTGTGAGCAGTGTTCCGACAAGGCTGGCTCCTAACTTTAGGGTATTTTTTTAAGCTGYAAGAATGCAAGATTACATGCTGAGCAGACAATAATCAGGTGTCCAGTAACGACACAGCAAGAGGATCTCCCCTTCCCCTGAAATAGGAGGTCATTGCACAGGACGGGGAGGTCACCAGGTCAGCCCTGAGAGCTTTATCAAGTAGTATGTGGTCTTCTCCTTGAGTAGACTCCTGAAGCCAGGAGATTGAATTTGGAAGAATTATAATAGTGGGAATGAATTAATTCTCAAGCAGCATCTTACCATGGTGTGTGTGTGTGTCCCTGTGCTGGGTCTGTGCAGTCTGGGTGAGTGCTGCTGGCAGCAGAGCAGCTCAGCCCCTGACTGCACGATGAAGCACCTCCAGATATTTAATTGACAGTGCAATTACTAAACTGGTAGCAGGGGAGCAGGAAATACTTCCTGCAAAACCAAGAGCTGTGAAAGCAGTCATGTAACTGTTTCTTGTGCCAGAGTATCAGCTTTAAGGTTATTGTAATTGTTAATTACACATTTGTGACTCTTGTGTTAGCAAGTGTCATGGTATGTTACAAATAGCTTGGGGACAGATCCTGATTTTGGCTGCACTGGTGTCAGATTGGCTTTGGTTCAGCTGTAGTCCGGAGTCGGTCTGGATTTGCTCCTTGTTGAATTCATACTGCTTGCTGATGTTGCTGAGCATGTTCTGGACAGGCTTCTGGACATTCTGAAATGTCCAAGACACTTCTCCCCACTCCATCATGCCTGGGATACTCTGAGGTTTCACACAACCTTGCACAACTTTACCCATCCTTGTGTTTTGGAAGAAGTGTGAATGATGTACATGTGCTTGGCTGGGACATCTGTTCCCTTCACCCACAGGAAGAAGGAGCCAACAGCAGCAGTAGGGAAAGGCTGGGGGAACTGGAGCAAGAGGGGAGGGAGCTGTCCTTTGTCTCTTCTGTCAGTCCATACTGATGCAAGATGCAGAAGACTTTTGAAACCAAACTGAGGTGCACCTGAATCAGATTTCAAATAAAACAAGATCCAACTCAGTAATTTATGACTCTGTCCTAAACAGAGATTCTTTCTTTGGAAATGCTTGCATTAAAGAAGTTGAAGTTATTTATTAAGAACTGGTGAAAGGGAAGTTTTCTTCCTTAATGTGATTTAAAAC